AGATGATCATGTGGTTTTTCTTATTCATTCACCTCTTTTCTTCTCATGTCTCGTCTCATCTATAGGAATCTTCTCCATCTCTTTGTAGTTTCCTTGCAATTTATTTGTGGAGCAAGCTGGTTCTTTGAGCTATGGAGTTCTCACAGTCTTGCTTCCCCATCGTGGTATTTAATGTGTTCGCGTCGTAAACTACAAGTTGGCAAAAACACTTCATCAGATTTAGATGGGACTGTTCTGGGTAGGTCACCTCATGGATGATGGTGTGTTGTTCCATCGGGAGACACATAATGCCTGATTCTCTCTCTCTCTCCCTCTCTCTCTCTCTCTCTCTCTCTCATGTTGGCCATTGTTGATGAGTGATGCCGAGATTCATTAATTCCCTAAAACTTGCAAAAATAGTCACATTCTATTCTATCATTTGGCCCTTATTCATTAGCTGGAATACCTATATAAAGAGAAATCTCCTCTCCGTTATGTGGTTTCCCAGGGGTACAGTTTGTATAGGAAAGAAAGGCTTTTACCGGTTTCTGAGAAGTCGGTTCCTGATCATTCGCCAACACGGATCAATTCCATTTGTTGGTGTCACCATGAACTCATGGCTTTAAATATATTTCATGAGCTTCAACTCACTGCAGTTTCTATTCTTGACTTGATGACAAATCACCCCATTTATGACCAATGTGAGCCTCTTCCAACTGGCTTCTGAGTCCTTTGACGATGGTTCTAGTGTCAGTAATTGCTTTCTTGCTTTAAGAAATGTTCCAGGCTCATCTTGTACGTTTCTATCGCAGACCTCAGATCAGGAAGCCCAACCATTCCTGCTTCTTTTTGGTGGAAAGTGGCATTTGCGCACTAGAATCTAGGTGCCAGGGGTGTGCATTGCTTCTGGGTTGCTTCTAGGCCTTTTCTTAGTGAAGAAAAACATTTTTTTCTTAAAAAAAAAAATCACATGATGTTACACTTATACTTTCAATTCAAATTCAAGACTACAAAGTTTTAACTTTTTTTAGCTC